AATTCTGTATTTTTTTAAATAGTCAAGGAAAAGTTAAAAACACTTCAACGTACAAACGTTTGACGTAGCTTCTGCCATCTTAGCTCTAACTGGTGACTTTTGATTCTTTTGAAATGGTGAAGCAATGACCGAGACCCAATTTGCTTCGTCTGATTTAAAGAACAGATCAGAACTAATAATCTCTGGCTCTTTCTGTAGCTCATAGTTCGTGCTCGTGTTTGTTCCTGCTCGTTCAAAGATTTGTCGGACCTGGTTTAGATGAGCTTGCAGGCTCATGCTAAACCCCTGACTTTTGGTTCAGGTGAGATTTCTCGCTTTCCATTGAACTTGAAGAATAATTTCCAGAAGTCACATTTTTTTAGCCTGTCGTTATTTGTCAAAAGTGTTTTGTACTTTTCTCGTGTGTAAACCACTCCAGAAGGCAAACCTGTCCACAGAAAGCACAGCCTGCACTAGTCCTAAGCTCTAGAGGCAGAAAGTACTGTACTTAACGTAACAATTGCCATGAAAAACACCAAACATCTATGTATAGCGTCTAGGAAAAACAAAAAAGCATGAGAGTTTGGAGAGTCATTCCACTCTAGAAGTAATCAATCCCATTCTGGAACAATCCCCTATCTGTATATGTGTGAAAACCCTTGGCATCCCTCATACTGCAAGGTTCAGATTTGCCATCAGAAAAAAAAAAAAATTAAAAAAAAAAAAAAGACCTCTTTACTTTTTTTCTTTTGTATTTTGATAAACACTGAAGAAGCTGGAGCTGTTTAAACTTTAACTTGAGGAACTATCAGAACTGGTTTATTTAGTGTTGTGGAAACCTTTATTGCTTTCAATACACAATTAGTAATCAACTGTTTTGTATACTTGTTTTCAGTTTTCATTTCGACAAACAAGCACTGTAATTAAAGCTGTTAGAATAAAAATCTCTTAACTATTTCATGTTTTTTATGCCTTGCTGTTCATTCGATCATCTTGGCAGAATCATAATGAAATACTTGTTGAATAAAAAGTTTCATGAAACTTGCACTGCTATCGACGTCGTTTTCTATCACCTTTGGATGGTACCGTGTGCTGGAGTCACGCCAGTCCAACCAGCGGTTTGCCACATCACAACCTGCACCAAAAATGGGGGATATCTCCCAAATCTCACTGTTTTCCAAATCATGTG